AGCCTCATCTTTCTCCCGCGGAGCGGCTGGTAGTTTCGAACCACTGACCTTAAGGTTCGCAGCCTGATTCGTAACCACTACGCTACCAGAGCTCCTTAAGGAAAACGTAAGTTTATCTAAAACTAGATAATTACTTGTATCTGTATGCGTATATTGTATATGTATGCATGCATAGGCATATGTGACTAGATAGGCTGTTAAGCCCTGATTATATATGTATGTGTGTGTGCACACGCATGTGAGTACACGGGCGTCTATACAAATATATTAAGACTAAGTGAGAAGATATTTTAATCTTTTATGGTCCTTTGTTAATGAAATAGTTGGGGTGGAGCTGAGAAGAAAATGAAAAAATTGAAATATTTTCTAAATTTTGTAAGCTCTGAAATGATGAAGTTTTCCTAATTATGTATTTGTAACTGTTTAAAATAGAAGGAAATTATGGATAAAGCAAAGAGAAAATGATAGTGTAAACAAGTAACAGCAGGACTTTGTCCAGACTGGTAGCAGCCGCCTTTGCAATCCTGGTGGAGGAATAAGAAATATAAGCAGTAGTATAACTTCTGGTGTGGTGCTGTGGGTTAATGCGCCAGACTGCACAGCCATTTGAACTGCAAGGTCGGCGGTTCAAGCTCACCAGCTGCTCTTTGGAAACCCTACACAGGGTCACTATGGGTCGGAATCGACTCGACGACACTTGACAACCACATAACTCCCAAAGTGGTTCTTACATGTACTGTTTTTTCCTTCCCTAGATCCACATCTTTCAAAGTGCAATTAGATTTTTCTTCTTTTGTTTGAACCTAATTTTGCTGCCAATGAAATTTAACTTAATTTGTCTGGTATCAACATAGAACTCATCAGTACAGTATTTACTCTGGCAGCAACTTTGTCCTCTATGTAAAATGAAATATATCCAAGTTTATGAAAACCAAATAAATTTCTTTTGAGAATTAATGAGAAAAAAAGTAATTTGAGAATTTTCCTAAGTTTGAAAGAAACCCTCATTTTTGGTAGTTGTTACGGCCTATTCTGTCTGTTTACTGCCTTAAATGTTTTATGCTACTGCAAGTCGTACCATTTCTTTAAGGTAATTATTTTTGTGATTTTATTTTCTTCTTCTAGGTTAACCGAACCTTCGGGATATTTAACAGATGGTCCGATTAACTATAAGTATAAAACTAAATGTACATGGTTGATTGAAGGCTAGTAAGTATGCATTTGTGTTGGATTAATTTATATTTTGTTCTGGAATGATAAAGAAACTGATACTGTCAATATGAAAACATTGAAGTCCAATAACTTCACAAAGTACATAGCTAATTTAATTGATGATTATTAGATATAGTTGTTTGTGATTTTTAAAAATGGAATTTACAACTTTTGGACATCATGTTTCATATAAATTGCAGTGCCCTGTTATCTGTGATGATAATAGTTTAATGTTAATATAATTTTTATTTTGAAGTTTTATTAATGTGCTGGTCTAAATTGAGTAGATTAGCTTGTTTTAAACATCTTGTACAATTTGAAGTTTCCATGAAAGATTAAAAATAAGTTTCATGCTGAGCTATGCCATTGGTTCATGAAATTTCATCATTTTACCTCTAAGGGTGTTAAAAAAGAATTTTTTTTTTTTTTTTAAAAAGAAGAGAGAGTTAATTATACAAATAGCACTGTTTTTCAATAGTTTAGGACTTAAAACTGAATTTATCTATTTAAATATATTGTAAATTAATCATGAATTCTTTATGGTCCATTTTATAATATGTGGAAAATGGTTATATTTTACTAATTATAAAACGATTCTAAAATCTTAAAAGCTATTCTTTCTGTGTTGTGTACCTGTGGTCTCAGTTTGTTAATTCATTAATAATATAGACCACTGATTAAAACTTGAGGGTCTTATTTGGGCTGTTAGTTAAGGATTCTGTAGAAAACAGAATAATTGCTTTTTGAATAAATATTTTTTAAAATCCATTTTTCCAAGTATAATTTGCCTGTAGTACAATGCACTCATTTGTATGTATTGTGCAATAAGTTTCAATAATGTATTGCATTTATGTAACCTCCACCTCAATCAAAATCTAGAACATTTCCTATGGATTAAATTTTTAGAAAATGGTGACAGAGATATATGGCCTTAATAGATTTTGAAGTTGTAATGTCAGTTTTACAAATTAAATATCATTGCTAATCCATGTTTTATATTGGTAATTTAAGAATGTATAGAAAAAAGGTATAGCGAAATCTGTAATGTAGATTTTTGAGAAAATGCTGAGTAAAATTTCTTCAGACTGTGCTTTGATATTACATATTGTTTAAAATATTCTGATTTTTTTTTTTTTTTTACAGTCCAAATGCAGTGTTAAGATTAAGATTTAATCATTTTGCTACAGAATGTAGCTGGGATCATATGTATGTTTATGATGGAGACTCTATATATGCACCTTTAATAGCGGTACTTAGGTGAGTAATGAGGTTAAGCATCTTTGGATGTGCTTTATGGCTGTTTGTATATTTTCTTTGGAGTAATGCCTATTCAAATCCTTTGCCTTTTTTTTTTTTAAGTATATGAGGTAGCTTCAAAAAGTTGTGGAAAAATGGAATTAAAGGATAAGGGAATTTTGCACCAACTGTTTGAAACTCCCTTGTATGTGCTACTGAAATGAGAACCCTTTACTCATTTTTGAAGTGTAGTGTTGGTCTTTTTTGTTGTAGAGTTGTGATATATTCAGGATAACCAAAACCAAAGTCCACAGTGATATGATAGGACAAAGTAGAACCATCCCATAGGGTTCCCAAGGTTGTCAATCTTCACAGAAGCAGACTGTCACATTTGTTTCTCATGGACCGGGTGGTGCGTTCGAAATGCTGACTTTCATTTAATAGTTGAGCAGCACTTTTTTATTGAACATGAGGGCTCCCTCATATTCAGCATTTGTTGTAGTTAAGTCCTATTAAGTTGATTCCAACTTAGAGGGTTTCCGAGGCTGTAAATCTTTGTGGGAGCAGAAAGCCCCATCTTTCTCCAGTGGAGTGTTTTGCAGGCTCGAATCGCCAGGCTTGCTTGTGCTTTGCAGCCCATTGCTAATCCTACAGAGCCACCACACTCCCCATTTTCAGCATTGTTGTTGCTGTTGTGAAGGGCCGTCGAGTTGGTTCCAACTCATAGCAACCCTGTATAGGGTTCCCGAGGAAGGACTGGTGAGCTTGAACTGCCGACCTTGCTATTCAAACTGACCTTGCAGTCCAGCGCATTAACCCACAGCACCACACCAGGACGTTTTTGCAAAATGAATTGATTGTAATATTTCATTTTGTTCTGTCAAATAGGACTTGGATGAGTGAATTCACATTACAGTGCTGCCTAAGTGTCAATTTAAACTGTTTCAAGGATTTGACTAATTTGTTGGAGATACTCATTTTCTCTCCATGAACAAGTAGGCTTAAAAAAAAAAAAAAAGCACTCGTTACTAGCATAGAGCTTTTGCTTTTGTACATTTATTTGATTCCCTTATAAGTCTGTCAGTTTGTTGTACTGTGGTGGTTTGTGTGATGCTGGAAGCTATGCCATCAAGATTTTGCTGCGAGCCTCAAGGTCAGCAGTTAGAAACTACCAGCTGTTCCGTGGGAGAAAGATGAGGTTTTCTGCTCCCGGAAAGATTTGCAGCCTCGGAAACCCTATATAGGGTTTCTATGAGTCAGAACTGACTCCACAGCACATAACCACCATCACCACACTGTTGGTGGCAGGTTTCAGCTGACCTTCCAGACTAACACAGACTAAGAAGAAGGAGAGGTGTACTACTTCTGAATGTTAGTCACTGAAAACCGTAGCAGTGGAACACTATCAGCACCAAAATACAGAATATTGAAACATGAATAGCACCAGAATTTGCTAGATATAATGATGGCTAAGCTTCGTCTCTCATACTTTGAACATATTGTAAGGAGGGAACAGTTGCTGGAAAAGGATGTCATGCTGGGTAAGATGGAGGGTCAGAGAAAAAGGGGAAGACCCCCAGTGAGATGGATCGGCCAGGTGGCATCATTGATGGCATCGAGTGTGGCAGTAGTAGTGAGGTTGGCCCAGGATCGGACATTGTTTCATTCTGCTGTGCATGGGGTCGCTATGAGTTGGTTCTGACTCGATGGCACCTGACAACAACAATGCTGGAAGATGAGCCCCTTAGGATGGAAGACACTCAAAATACGGCTGGGAAAGAGCTGCCTCCTCAAAGTAGAGTTGACTGTGATGATCTGGATGGAGCAAAGCTTTCAGGACCTTCATTTGCTGATGGGCACAACTCAAAATGCGGAGAAACAGGTGCAAACATTCATTAATAATCGGGACATGGAGTGTACGTGTATGAATCTAGGAAAATTGGAAGTTGTCAGAAATGAAATTGAGCTTGTAAACATCGATATCCTAGGTATTCGTGAGCTGAAATGGACTAGTGCTGGCCATTTTGAATCTGACAGTTATGTGGTCTACTATACCAAGAATAATAAGTTGAAGAGGAATGGCATCACATTCATCATCAAAAAGAACATTTAAAGATGTAGCTTGAAGTATAATGCTATTTGTGATAGGATAACATCCATACACCTGTAAGGAAGACTCACTAATACCACTTGGATTCAAATTTATGTTCTCAGCACTAAAGTCAGTGATGATGAAGTTGAAGAATTGGAACAACTTCTTCAGTCTGGAATTGATCAAATAATGTAATCAAGATGCATTGATAATTACTGTTGATTGGAATGCAAAGTTTGGAAACAAGGAGGAAGAATCAGTAGTTGGAAGATATGGCCTTGGTGATAGAAATGATGCTGGAGAATGCATGGTAGAATTTTGCAAGACAAATTAATTACTCATTTCACATACCTTTTGAAACAACATAAAGGATGACTAAACACATGGAACTCACCACATGGTATACACAGAAATTAACTTGACTACACCTGTGGGAAGAGATGGTGGAAAAGCTCTATATCATCAGCCAAAAGATGGCCAAGGGCAGACTGTGGAGCAGACCATCAGTTGTTCGTGCAAGTTCAGGTTGAAACTGAAGAAAATTAAAACAAGTCATGAGATCCAAAATTTCACCTTCAACAATCCCACCTGAATTTTAGAGATCATCTGAAGAACAGATTTCATACATTAGACACTAATGATGGAAGACCAGAAGAGTTGTGGGATGACATCAAGAACATCATACTGAAAGAAAGCAAAAGGTTATTAAGAAGACAAGAAAGAAGGAAAGTACCAAATGGATGTCAGGAGATGCTGAAACTTGCTCTCCAGTGTACAGATGCTAAAGCAAATGGAAGAAATGAGGTAGTAAAAGAGCCGAATAGAAAATCAAAAGGCAGCTCGAAAATTTCTAAGTCAAGTATTATAATGAAATATGTAAAGACCTGGAGTTAGAAAACCAAAAGGGAAACACTCAGCATTTCTCAAGCTAAAAGAACTGAAAAAAAATAATTCAAGCCTCAACTTGTAATTGAAGGATTCTATGGGCAAAATATTGAATGATGCAGAAAGCATCAAACGAAGGTGGATTCAGAGTCACTGTACCCGAAAGAGGCATGGTACCAAAAAGAAATAGACAATGTTCAGCCATTTCACGAGATATATGCTCAAGAGCCAATGGAGAGACAATGGACATTCAATAAGGAAGACTGTAGAAGAATTGATGCATTTGAGTTGTGGTGTTGGAGAAGAGTATTAAAAGTACTGTGGACTGCTAGAAGAAAAAACAAATCTGTGTTGGAAGAAGTTCAGCTAGAATGTTCCTTAAAAGCCGTGATAGTGAGACTTTGTCTTTCATATTTCAAATATATTATCATGAGGGAGCTGTCCTTGGAGAAGGACATCATGCTTGTTAAAGTGGAGGGTCAGCAAAAAAGAGGAAGATCTCCAGTGAGATGGATTGGCACTGTGGCAGCAGTAATGGGCTCAAGTTTGACAACAATTGTGAGGAAGACGTAGGACTGGGCAGTATTTCATTCTGTGGTGAATCAGGTTCCCATGAGTTGGAAATGATTCGATGGCACCTAACAACAACAACAACTACAACATATTTAGTTTTTGTATACACCTGGGTGTAAGGGGAGCACTATTCTGCTATGGAATAGTTATACATCAATATAATTTATATGTTATTGTTTTTAAGTACCACCAAATCGGTTCCAACCCAGAGCAACCCTGTGTAGGATTTCTGAGGAGTGGCTGGTGAGCTTGAATCGCCAACCTTGAGGTTCAAACTGACTTGGCAGTCTAGTGCATTAATGCACAGTGCCACACTAGGACTCCATAATTTGTATCAACAAACAACATTTTAAAGAATCAAAAAAATGATATATTTTAACCTGAATTGATGTATTGGAAATGTATAATTTAACTAGAGTTAAATTATAACCTTTGGCGCTGTGGGCTAATGCGCTGGACTGCAAAGTCGTTTGAGCTGCAGAGTCGGTGGTTGAAGCTCACCAGTTGCTCCTTGGAAACCCTATACAGGGTTGCTATGGGTTGGAATCGACATGACAACACTTAACAACAACAACAAATGATAACTTAGATGGTATGGTGATGGTGTGAACCTTCTGTTTTCATCCGAGTTTGCAAACAGCGAGAAAGGTTAAGCCTAAAGTAAGAGTCCTCCCTGTCATCTGGTGACAGGAGGACAGCAGGACAAGAGAGATGACACATGTGGGAAGTCCAAATGTTGGAAGGAAAAAGAAAGGGCGAGGGATGAGAGTAGATGTTAGTGTACCAGCGGTTGTTCGAGAGCTAATTGGGTGAGAAATGGATCGGATCTCAGTGTAGATTTCTTCTAGTTGCCCATCGTACTTGTTGGCACTCTGAGATTCTGACAAGAATATTGCTGAGTAAGCATAATGTCAGAGGTATATTAATACACTTTGTGGTCAATTTTGCTTTCTTTCAGTGGCTTGATTGTCCCTGAAGTAAGGGGAAACGAAACTGTGCCTGAAGTTGTTACAACATCGGGTTATGCCCTACTTCATTTTTTTAGTGATGCAGCATATAATCTAACTGGTTTCAACATTTTTTACTCGTAAGTATTTATAAAAAACCCACCCAAACCCCTTTCATTTTATAATTGTTCTCTTACTTTGAGTTTTGTTTGTTTTTTATTTTTACAAATGTCTTATATACTAGTGTATTAAATGTCAAATTATACAGAAAATGCAATGGTGCTGGGATTATTTCTGAGTTCACAGGGAACTATGGTAGCACATTAAATTTGGGGAGAAATTATTTACAAAATTTAAAAATGTTTGCTGGCGAAGGATGAAGCAAACAAATACAAATAGATGTAACTGAAGTCTTATCCACAGACTTGGGAGCTGGTAGGGAGTTCCAAACAGACTTTTCTGTGTCTGATGGTATTTTACTCCTAATATGGAGGACTTCTGGCAGCGTACTGGTTACGAATCGGGCTGCAAACCTTAAGGTCAGCAGTTTGAAACTAGTAGCTGTTCCGTGGGAGAATGATGAGGCTTTCTGCTCCTATAAAGATTTACAATCTTGGAAACCCTGTACAGGGTCGCTATGAGTTGGAACCGACTCCACGGCACTTAACAACAACAACAACTGAGTATCTATGATATCTGATGCTTCCATACATTTTTATATCTAGAAATACAAACATGGAAAGAAGTAGTCAGGGATGTTTGCATTTTTCCATAGGAATACTCACAGAGGAGCTGTATCAACTTATTTTTCCCTTAGCACCAGGAATAAAGACATTCTTACACAGATAGCTTTAGGAAAAATAAAAATATTCTTCTGTAATGAGAAGTTTATTATAGCATTTATATTGTTCAAGTAGGTACCCAAGGGAGACTTAAGTATATAGTAGAATTTTAAAAGGTCTTAAAAGATCATTTTAAAAGGTATGAGATAAATACCCCTTTTCTTTCAGAAGAGTGTGCTACTTTGGTATAGTTGTTGTTGTTGTTGTTGTTGTTAAGTGCCGTCGAGTCAATTCCGATCCATAGTGACCCTGTATAGTAGAACCTGTGAAAGCTAGAACTCAGTGAGAAGGTTTTGTGTTTCTGGATCTCATACGTTTTCTGGCTCTGACAGTGGTTTCTAGTGCACTCTGTTAAGAATTGTCATAAACACTCGGTGTGTTTTCCTGCTCTGACTGGTTTCCAACTTAACTCAGATTTTTTTAAGTTTTACTGTAAAATCTAGCTAGGTTGTATTTTGGCTTCTTATATGGTTTCAGGTGCCTATGAATTTAGTTTTCTTTATGTAAAATATATATTTGAAACATTTGAGCACGGAAGTCTTAAATACTGCCCTTGAAACTGTTAAGATTTTGTAGATGTTGAGTCGTTAGAAGTTTGGAGTCTTGGTAGCAGAGTTTCTCATTGGTTGAATGAAGACCAATTGGAAGTAAATACCAATTGAATGGCATCAAAGGGTAAAAGCGTACAGAATAAGGAATTGGATCTGTGTTGTGAAATAGTGTTAAATGCAGCATGTAAGACAACATCAAAACTTAAAACGCTGACAAAATGTCAAACAGAAATCACTTAAAATTCTCTTGAATTTGAATGTATATCAATTGTATTTTGCAGAATCAATTCTTGTCCTAACAATTGCTCTGGTCATGGGAAATGTACCACTAGTATCTCCGCTCCCAGTCAAGTATACTGTGAATGTGATAAATACTGGAAAGGGGGAGCTTGTGACATTCCTTACTGCAAAGCCAACTGTGGGAGTCCAGACCACGGCTACTGTGACTTAACGGGAGAGAAATTGTGTGTCTGCAATGACAGTTGGCAAGGTAAGCATGTGTGGTCTGGTGGCTTTGGAATGGAAACTGTGATTCAAACAGCTAGTTAGTTCACAGAAAATTTTGCATGGGTTTGTTTACTATAATTCAAATACCCAAATCTCGTGTGTTTGTTTTTACTTTTAGAACACTCCATTTAACAAGCAACTTCTTTTTTTTTTTAAATGTTTTATTGTGAATTATGTGATAGTTTACATGGGAGAACATTAGCTTTACATTCATCCTATTGTATATCATTTCATTGCCATGGTTACAATCCCCTCCATGCATCATCAACCAACCAAAGGGTATACCCTGCAAACCTGTCCCCCCAGTTGTCAGCATACATCCTGTCTCCCTCTCTGGGACTAGAGTCCCCAGCCTCTCCATCTCTCCATGTCATTGTCTCTGCCTCCATCTCTGGTGTCACTGCTTCTCTGGGTAGGGTCCTGCTCTCCGCTCTTCTCCCTTGATGGTTCCAGGAACCTCCGCTCCTGGACTGCATAGTCAATCACTCCCCTCCTTTTGCTACAAAACGTCTACCTTTACATTTCCAACCCTCGAAGTCACTCCTGATAACAATTATTCACCATTGTATCGCAAGGGACCTATCCCCATCTCTTTTCATTAGCTCCGCCCAGGCAGATTGGATACTACTCAGTGGAGATTCTACCTTCCTCTGTGCCCTCTGGATCTAGGCTCCCTCTTGAAAGCTTGTAAGCCAGTTACTTGTAGCGCCTCCCCCCCCCCCCCATTTTGGGTAGCCAACAAGCAACTTCTTAATCATCTGTTTTACTTCCTCATAAATAGAACTGGTAAAGCTTTTATCTACATGCTATTTGGAAGGTTAACTGAAGTTTTATATGCAAGTGTTTTGTAAATTTTGGAGTATCATCTTGCGGAAAATAAATGTTTATCTGTACTGACTGCATTGTATCTACAAGTTTGGAGTCTTAGTAGCAAAGTCACTCATGGGTTGAATGACCAGTTGCAAATAAATACTAATTGAAATGCATCAAAGAGTAAAAAAGTCCAGAATAAAGAATCCATGTTGTGAAATAGTGTTAAATGAAACATATAGAAACAACCTTAAAACTTAGAAAGTTTACAAAGTGTCAGACAAAAATTTCTTATAGACTACTGACCTCTTGTGGCTAGTTTTAACTACACAGACTAAAAAAAGTTACTTAGGACATATAGTACTTTCATTGCCTATTATATAAGATACTTAGGGAAGATTTTCAAAGCAATTTCTATAACAATATATCATCTTAATTTTAATTTAAAATGATGAGTTTTTTTTAGTTTAATTTAAAATGATGAGTTTTTTTTTTAGTTTAATTTAAAATGATGAGTTTTTTTTTAGTTTAATTTAAAATGATGAGTATCTGGACATAATATCATAAATTCTGCACTGTGGAGATAAAAGACAGTTCTAGCTATCCATTCATTTATCCTCACATTTAGACATTGATTCATTTCAGTATTTGAGAGCTTATTTTTTATGTTAATTATGTTTAAATCTTGAAAGCTAAATTGTGTCAACATCTTACTCCTGTTGATAAAGGGAACGTTGAGTTAAGAATAATCCAGATCTTACTCATAGCATAGTAGTAGTACTTCTTGCCAGACTTGTCATAAATAAAAAATTACAGTGACTGTGTTCTTTATATGTTGTTGTTGTTAAGTGGGTCCAACTCATAGTGACCCGGTATAGGGTTTCTGAGGAGCGGCTGGTGATTTTTAACCACTGATCTTTTGGTGCTTATCCTACAGTGCCACGCCACTATTTACCATTATTATTACTTCAAGATTTTATTGTGAATTGAGTGAAAGCTTACAGGTTTGTAGATCATCAATTTTACATTCAACAAATCATATACTTTGTTTCATTACAATGGTTATATGGTTATAATCCCTCCATGTACTATCAGTTATAACAGTATTTCTTTCTATCCATTTTAGCTCTGTTTTTTTTTTCCCAAAAAAAAACCACTCAGGCATATATAATAATTGACACCACCAAAGGGCACATTCTGCATGTCTGCCTCCTAGCTGCCAGCTCTCAGTCCCTCTCTTTCCATGAATCTAGAGTCCTCAGCTGCTCCCTCTCTCCATGTCCCCATCTCTGCCTCCGTCTCTGGTGTCCCTGCGTCTCTGGATAAGGTCCCACATTCCGCCCGTGATCTTCCCCCTTGATGATCCTAGGGTCCTCTGTTTCTGGACTGTAAGATTAACTACTCCCCTGTTTTTGTTACAAAACTTACACATTTACAATTGTGACAGTCACAATTAGTCATGATAACAATTACTTGCTATTGAATCATAATCTTATCCCCATCTTTTTTTACCAGACCCATCTACACAAGATGAATTTACTATTATTTTTGAGATGATATTTTCTTTCCAGTGGTGCTGAGTATGTTAAGTACTCACTTTGGGAAATTGTTTTAAGCTTTGTATAAATTAAGAAACGCTTGCCTATCTTAAACCCATGTTATTGTATTAAAAATAGGCTAATTGCATACAGTATCAGTGACTTCTTATTGGACTGAATTTGGTTACATATTGTAGTTACAAGAGATAGAAATTTCTCAATATTCTTTCATTATGTTGTTGTTGTTGTTAAGTGCCGTCGAGTCGGTTCTGACCCATAGCAACCCTGTACAGGATTTCCGAGGGTGTAAATCTTTACGGGAGTAGAAAGCCTCATCTTTCTCCCGCGGAGCGGCTGGTAGTTTCGAACCGCTGACCTTAAGGTTCGCAGCCCGATTCATTCTTTCATTATAGGCTCATGTATTTTAGTAAATGGCTATTTTAATAATATGTTTTATTTCTTCCTCTCAAAAGTACCATGAAAATTTAATTTAAAAGAATTAAATATTGAAACTAAAATAGCATTCTTTTCTATGGAAAAAATAGTACATAGAGAATACATTTACCTTGTTGTTGCTGTTTGGCACCACTGAGTCTGTTCCGACTCTTAACCAGTCCTCGGTACAGCAGAACTAAACACTGCCCGATCCTCTGCAGTTCTCACAGTCATCCTATGGTCGAGCACATTGTTGCAGCCACTCTGTTAATCCATCTTGGTGTGGGTCTTCCTCTTTTTCTTGGACCCTCTACTTTACCAAGCATGATGTTCCTTTCCAGGGACTCGGCCCTCCTGATCTTGTTGTAAAGTGCCGTCGAGTTGGTTCCGACCCATAGCGACCCTGTCTAGGGTTTCTGAGGAGCAGCTGGTAAGCTTGACTGCTGACCTTTCAGTTCAGTCAGCTTTGCAGTCTGACACATTAACCCACAGCATCACACCAGAACTCCCGTCCCTCCTGATAGCACGTCCAAAATACGTGAGGCAGAGTCTTACTATTCTAGTTTCTACAGAGCATTGTACTTATTCCAACACAGATTTGTTTGTTTTTCTGGTAATCCATAGTATATTTAATATGCTTTGTGAAGACCATAATTCAAAGGCTAAAATTCTTCTTTGGTGTTCATTATTCATTATTCAAATTTCACCTGCATATGAGGATATTGACAATACCCCAACTTGGGTCAGACGCACCTTAGTCCTCAAACTGACGTTTGTGCTCTTTACCACTTTAAGGAGGTCTTTTGCAGCAGGCTTGCTCACTGCAGTATGTTGTTTGATTTCCTAACTGCTGCTTCCATGAGTGTTGAGTGTGAATCCAAGTAAAATGTAATTTTTGTCTCCATTTACCTTTGAGGTTTTTGTGAGAGTAAACAAATTTTTTTATGGTGAATAGTAATCCATACTGAAGACCGTAATCTTTGATCTTCATCAGTAATGATGTCAAGCTCTCTGCTTTCAGCAAGCATTGTGTGTCTTCTGCATACTGCATGTTGTTAACAAGTCTTTCTCCAGACGTGATGCTGTGTTCTTCTTCATATAGTCCTGCTTCTTGGATTATTTGCTCAGCATACAGACTGGATAAGTATGATGAAAGAGTATAACCTTGATGCGCATCTTTCCTGATTTTAAAATCCCCTTGTTATGTTCAGATGACTGCCTCTTGGTCATGGCAAGTCTTTCACAATTAAGTGTTCTGGAATTTCTGTTCTTCAACAAAGTTATTATACATAGTTTGTCATGATCCATACAGTTGGATGCTTTTGCATAATCTGTGAAACACAGGTAAACATCTCTGTGGTCTCTCTACCTTCAGCTAAGATCCATTTGACACCAATGATAGTCCTCTGTCTTAGTCTGGGTTCTCTTGAGAAGCAAAATCAGTGGACATATACATATATGTATACATATATGTATATATATGAGTTAATGTGCTAGACTACAAACTCGGTTTGAACTGCAAGGTCCATGGTCCAAGCTAACCAGCCACTCCTTGGAAACCCTAACAGGGTTGCTATGAGTCGGAACCAACTTGATGGCATTTAGCAACAACAACACACACACATACATATAAAGAGAGGTTTATATCGAGGAAATGACTCACAGTTATGGTGGTGGTGGTGGTAGTGGTGTGCCGTGGAGTTGGTTCTGACTCCTAGCAACCCTAATACAGGGTTTCTGAGGGTATAAATATGAAAGGAGCAGAAGGCTTCATCTTTCTCCCACAGAGCTGCTGGTAGTTTTGAACTGCTGACCTTGCGATTAGCAGCCCAACTCATAACCATTACTCTAGTCCCAAATCCATTAGTCAGGTGTCAGGCTGGTGGCTTCTGACTCATGTAACTGGAGGGCTGATGACTCAAGATGGGAAGGTCAGAGGTCAGCCAGGTAAGATGGCTGCTGCAGATGGCTTCCAGGATCGGCGGGCAATAGAGCAGGCCACTGACTTAAGTACAGAGAACTGGAGGTTGGATGCTGAGACAGATGCAGAATCCAGGTTGGGCAGAAAAGCAGGCAAGCTTTGTCCAAATGTTCAGTATGCTGGAAGCAGGCCACACCCCTCAGAGGAAACTTCCTTTCAGCTGATTGGCTGCTTATATAACAGATCTTACCATGGGGCTTCCTATGGCTTTACTGCCAA